TCACCGGCTCAGGGTTGACTCAGCCTTCCATCCTTCCGAGGTGGGTAAAATGAGTACCCGGATTGTTTGGGGCAATATGCTGACTCTGTAAACCGCTTAGAAAGGGCTGAAAGCCCTATGAAGCGGTATATAAGTCTAATTGCTATTGCTATTGCTATTGTTCCTCACAGTTATGACCTTTGCAGCATCCCCATGATCACGTGATCAAAATTCAGATGTTTGAAAACTGGTTCATATTTATGGCCGTTGCTAGATCCCAAGGTCATGTGATCACATTTTGCGCCCTTCCGGCAAACAAAGTCAATGGGGAAGCCAGATTCGCTTAACAACCGGGTTACTAACTTATCAGCTGCAGTGATTCACTTAAAAACTGAGGCAAGATATATAACAATATTCTTATGTTTTGTGTTTTGTTCTTTCTTGTTGTGTTTTATTGTTTTTAAAGATTAAAATATTCAATAAAAAATATTTTTAAAAACCTGAGGGAAGAAAGGTCGCAAAATGGGGCAAAATTCACTTAACAAATGTTTCACTTAACAACAGAAATGTTGGGCTCCATTGCGGCCATAAGTCGAGGACTACCTGTATTGAACACAGATTGCTTTATTGTTGGGCAGCCAAGCCTAGCACTATCCTTTCTATTCTCAGAAAAATATATTTTGAATCCACCGGATATCACTATGCAAAGAAAAAGCATTTTTATGGCCATTGTCATTTGGATTATGAAGCTTAATGGAACTCTGTGAGGCTGTAGAAAAGCCAAGTGGCTCATCCAGTATCAATTCTCAAATTATCTACAGAATTATGTCAAGATGAAGTGTATAACCCACAGTGTAGCCACCACTATTTCTCTTTTTCTTCCTAACGATGACATATTTTTTAAAAAAATTCCACATCTCAGTATAGTTTGGAACACCAGTATATAATTAGGATGAATGCTTTACACTGCTAATTGGAATATGTTTAGTCATATTAGTTAATGAAAGAAAAAATAATCAAATGGCCCTTGAATCATACATTTGCTTCCAACAAACCAAGTCGTATAGAGCAGTGATCTCCAACCTTGGCAACTTTAAGAGTTGTGGACTTCAACTCTGGGAGTTGAAGTCCACAGGTCTTAAAGTTGCCAAGGTTGGAGATCACTGGTATAGAGCACTGGCCAAAAAACCCCCACCTCAGTTGATGAATTTGTTTAGGGATGCCACATACATTTATGGAGGGATGCAGTGACTCAGTGGCTAAGATGCTGAGCTTGTCGATCAGAAGGTTGGCAGTTTAGTGGTTGTTAATCCTTAGCAGAGCATAATGGAGTAAGCGCCCATTACTTGTCCCAACTTCTGCTAACCTAGCAGTTCGAAAGTACATTTAAAAATGCAAGAATAAAAAAAGGGACCACCTTTGGTGGGAAGTGACAGCATTCCGTGAGCTTCAGCATCATGCCCATGGAGACGTCTTTGGACAGCGCTGGCTCTTCAGCTTAGAAATGGCGATGAGCACCGCCCCTAGAGTAGCACGCATGTGCGGGGGAACCTTTATCTTTATACATTTATGGCAATACTTGTGTAAATTTGTATATATGCATGTCCATCTTGTGTTTCAAACCTTTCTCTCTTTTCTCTCCCCCCGCCCCATTCCAATGCAGGTGAAGAAAATTTATTGGCAATCTTAAAACGAAGATGGTGGAAGTACATGATCCTTGGAATAATAGATATAGAAGCAAATTACCTGGTAGTTAAAGCTTATCAATATACCACTTTTACTAGTGTACAGGTAAGATTTTCTACTAGTTTATTTTCTCTCATCTCTACTCATTATATCAGAAAACCAAAGGAAGCCTGGATTTAACTTCGCAGTAATAGTAATAGTAATAGAGCCATACTTTCCTGCCTTCCCGAGATTGCCATCCTATTTCCTCCATATGTTGGCTCAAAGGAGAGAATAGATTTTAACATTTATGCCAAGCATGCTAAGCATAAATATGGTAATCACAGATATGGAGCTGCAGGCACATAAAGCCCTTCTTAGCTCTGTTCATTACACTGGCTAAGATGAAGCTCGGAGCTTCAAATAAGTTAAAAAGCAGTAATAATTCTGTTCAGCCTTCCATAAAAGGATTAAAAACATGTTAAGAAATGTGAAAAGAAGGTTATTATCTCATCCCCCATATCCAATTTCATGTAGAACCGAGTCAATAACTGGAAGTTAAAGTCATAGTTAGGTAGATATTATTCTTCAAAAATCAGAAACTCTACTCATGACAGCTAAATTACACGGCAAGGAAACAGATGGATAAGTATCCTACAAGTCAGAAACATAAAATAAGATACTCCTCACTGTAACAAAGCCTTCCAGTGTTGAAATTACCAATTTTCTCTAAAGAGCTTAAACTCACAGGTCCTTCTGATAGAACTGCTTGGGTGGCATTTCCCAAGGGAAGGCTCTGTGTGACAGATTTTAATCAAGATGCATCATCCTTCAACCATTTTCTTCCCTTTGCATTGTAGCATTGGGTTTTGGTGCCACACAGTTGTAGACTTGTTTTTTTCACAATTATTTTCAGTCATTCTGTCCCTGGTCATCTCACGGTTGGACTGTTGTAATGCGTTCTACATGGGGCTACCCTTGAAGAGCATCCAGAAACTACAACTAGTGCAGAATATGACAGCGTGGGCAGCTTTAAGGGCCTCAAGAATTGCCTTATAACACATTCCTCCATGAGCTGCTTTGGTTGCCAGTCTGCTTCCGGGGGCAATTCAACAGTGTTGGTTATCACCTTTAAAGCCCTTCATGGCTTTAACTTGGCCTGGATCCAAATTATTTGAGGAACCCTCTCATCCCTCTGGGATTGGCCTTTCCACTTTTGCCAGCAGAGGAGGCATCATGTGGTTCTCATCAGCCTGATGGGGTCCTGGAGGGCATTTTCTGGTGTTGTGCCTACTCTCTGGAACATCTTGTCCCCCTCTTTGTGAGGTTGGCCCCACACCCCTCCTTTCTTTCATAAGGGTCTAAAGGCATAGCTGCCAATTAGCTTGAGGCCCCAGTGGGGAAACAGGACAGTAATTAATCAGTTTTATCATATACTGTATATCTATATTTATTACTTAAAGCACTTGTTTTGTGATGCAAAACCTGTACACTGTACAAATATGCTAAATTTGTAATATCTTCAAAAGACATTTCTTTTCTTTTCTCTTCCTAAACTTTCACTCATGTTGTAGCATTCTAGTGGCTGTGCATTTCTTTCGTTTGATCCAGTCATCCAAACCATTTTGATTTCAAAGGCCAATAATTGTCGAAATAGATAAAATTCCATGTGCTTTTTTTAGTTTTTAATTTGAAATAGCTCTCAGCCTTCTTAAGGATATGTAATAAAATCTAAGGTTGTTTTGTGGTTGTATTATTATCAAAAAGATGTTGCAAACAGAGCAATATTGTAGTAGCGTTTCACTTTATACATCCTAAACATGTACAAGCCGAATCATGCAGAAAGAACTCAACTACATATACATTTGACTTTTGTCCAGGAGGTAATTCCTTCATTTGAGAAGAGTTGGATTCTATGTTAAGAGTATTTTTAGAAAAATAACCCTTTTTAGTTCTTTGATCCTGATAAATTTCTGAGCAATCTATAATTTTTTAATTTGAGTTGAGTACTGGTTTGTGTGATGACTTCTCCACTCTAAATAAATTAGGTGGTTTTTATCCTTAAAGGAAAGGATAATCTAGATATATTTCAGTCTGGCTGTAGACCTGGTTTAGAAACTTTAATGATTTTGGCTACCTCGATAAATGAACTAAGCCAAGAATTCAATAAAGAAAGCAAGTTGCTATTGACTCTGCTGGACCTAGTTAATGGCTCTTAAACATGGTGTCTTTCTTAATAAAATTACAGAGATGCAATTGAGGGGTATGGAGACTTAATTTTTCTGAATAATTACTTTTGGAAAGTGATGGAGAAAGACTTACCTTAATTTAGTGTTTAGATGATGGTGTTTCTTAGAATTATATTTCTTTTTCACGATATGTAATATTTATGTGTAGTGGAAATCATTTGAAGTTTGAAGATGTAGTGTAACAAATATGAAATTATATTTAACTATGTCTTTCCTTTCCATTCTATTCAAGGGAGGTTGTCTAAATCATTGCCTGGGAGCTGAATTAATTGGGTCATAATAAACTGAAATTTAATCAATCAAGAAATAAGCAGCCTTAGTAAGGCTATAGTAGGCATTTAAGTTGTGCGCAATGGGATATTACTCATCTTGAAAATGTAGGCTTGTAATTTGGATATCTTCTAGAACCTAGCATTAATCTTGGATGCTTGTTAAGAATTATTTGCCCTGCTAACAATGTAGTCCCATCTATATTCATTGGAACTGATCCTCAAGAATGTAGCAAATACCTTATCACATTGGTTTATGACAATTTAGTTTACACTGGACAATCTTTGAAAACTATGTTGAAACTATTGTGGTCCAGCCTGTAACAGAATAATGCTGTTCTGGTCCTGTTCTTCAAATGGCTATTCTGCTTCCTATTTATAAGTACAATTTAACATGACTATGATATTGGTTTTTAAAAACTCAAATTTTATTTTATTCAAAACATTAAAACAAACTCCCAAAAAACAACAACAACAAAGCTAAACAAGACTATGAGTGTATAAACAACTCAAAAGAGACATATATATAAATTGTCCCTCCAGTTGAATACTAATAAATGTATTTCAAAGATAATAGCCCCCCCCCCTTGCAAAGCAGGCACACAATTTATAAATTTTTACAACACTATTTACCCAACCCACATAGCCTGTGCACTATGTGAAAAAGTTAATAGGGAAACCAACAGCTAAATTAAACTTCTAAACCCTCTGTTAACAGTCTATTGTATTTCACTCACAGAAAGTCCACAATGGCTTCTGTTGTACCATAAGTCACAACAATCATTGTCTTTGGTCCGTCCAGGATCAAATATCCTCAATTGATTCTTAATTAATAAACCGTTTTCTTAAGATATTAAACAGGATCTTTTGTAACAATTTGATGTCATGAATATGAATTTTAAAGTCCAGAACTACTAATTTTGAGAGTGGGGAGGGAATGCGAATTTTGCAGTATCCTTCCCCTGCCACACCCACAAAGCCACACCCACAGAACCAGTAGTAAAAAAATTTGAATCCCACCACTGCTCAGAGTTATTTGGAATTAAGAATGTTCCTATTTCACTGTTACTTAATTAAATTTGGACAAAACACTTCCCTTTAAAAAGACATTTAGTATGAGATTTTGACTTGCATTTGAAAATATATCTCTGGGTTATTAGTTTTTTAAACTATTTTAATAAGCTCTGTTACTGTTTAACATTTTAGTATTGCAATATTTAATGGTTATATTGAAAAGTTGCTTTGGGGAGTTGGGCGGCATAGCGGTTTGATAATAAAAACGGTTTTACTCATTTAAGTTTTTTAAAATATGCCATTATTTTTCATTTAATCTATCTTGATGTCCTAAGGAAAAAGGCAGAATATAAGTATTTCTAATCTCTCTGTCCCTGACTCCTAAATCTTAATCTTAAATGAAATACCTCAAGCTACTTGAAGAGAATAAATATTAAAAATGGGAGGAAATGAAACAATTAAATATAATTTTTAAAAAACTTTGCACATTACATTTTTGCAAGTTCCAAATTTCACAAATCCAGCTGTTACAGGCTTATGCTTGATAGAGGGAGTGATGGTTGATTATAATTCTCTGTAGTCACTAAGCCACATTTCCTTTTAGTTCATGAATTACTTCCTTATTTCAGTTTCTTAGTTCTTTCTTAGTTCAAGGAGAATCTACATCTTCTCTCTTCAGATATTCACAATGGAAAATTTAATGAGTGCCTTCATCTATATTGTATCTCTATTTTAAAGCTCCATGTTCTCAGAAAAAATAGAGATATTAAGTAAAGATTCAGATATTGTGGTTTTGAAACAAAATAAGAGAATGAGATGGATAATCCTGTTGACATGGAAACATGCTGAATTTATAAACCTAATGTTCTGCAAAGTTAATGGGACATCTCCCCATCTTTTGACTGCTTTATTATTTAATTGGCAAGTAGAAGAATCAGTTTGTTTTTCATTGTTTAAATGACTACTCTGTAGTGAGAAATTATGGTTCAGATTTGAGAACACAAAGATCACTCCCCCCCCTCAAGAGAAAAGGCAAATCTGAATTTATACCAAGATGTAGCAAAGAAAATAGGATATAAAGTTATGTACATAACTTTAGCTTGCATTCTAAGAATGATTTTCCATGATTTGCAATCTTATAGAATGACTGAATTCACATAGTTAAAAAGCTACTTTGCAGATAAAACACATTTTTTTTCTTTAGATCAGAAAGTGGCATTGTTAGAAAGCTGAGGGATTGATTCTCATGAAGCAAGAAACCTGCCTATGATTTTTTTGGGGGTGGGGGGTGGGGATGAAGTTATTTGTAGATTTGTAGATTTATTGAACATTTATAGTCCGCCCTTTTCCCTGAGGGGACTCAGGGCGGCTTACAACAAGGGGGGAAGGGAGTGCAAAACAAGACATAAAAGAAACGTGAATAAAAAAATTAACTATAAAACCCAACATTCATTCAACATTCGGGCGGGGTG